GGCTAGAATTATAGACAAAGTAGGCGCCTTTAGCTTTGAATCGTGGCCAGATTTTGTTGGAGAAAATCTTGGATTCTCCACATACCTTTCCATCTCCTTTTGGGTGAGAGCAATCGTCTAGGACTCTTGGAATAAGAGTTGGACGGCTCCCATGTTTGTAGGAATGAAAAACCCGAGAGTCCCTGATGGTGAAAACTCTTTGGTGGCCGCTTGCTTGAAGACTTCTTGGAAGAGATTTGGCCAAAATTCCCTAGGTATTAGGACTCTTAAATGGCCGGCTGTGAAGAGTTGAAAAAGGAGAAAAATTCTTGTGAAGGGCTGGCCGCTTGTGATGTGAAAAATTAGGAGAAAATTTCTCTTGAATGAGAGAAATTTGTCATTTGCAAATCCAAGCTGTTTATAATTTTGAGAACTCCTTTTGGCTTGATTTTGATGAGTTGGAGGAGGATAAAACTCCCTATGGATTTGTGACTGAGAATCCTTGAGGTATAGGATTCTTTAAGGGTCGGTTTTGCTCTTGTTGCAGGACAAGTTATTGGTTACCTCTTCCCTTGACTTGATGAGCTCGACTTTCCCCTTTCAAGACCTTTAAGGTTTTGGTCCAAGTCCATCTTGAATCATGTAAAAGCCTTGTTTTTCTTGTTGGCCATCATGTGTTTGCAGCTTAGAGCCCAAACCGTCTTGATCATGTGTTGGATAGCCTTGCTCGAGACATTGAGGGATGTAATGGTCCCTTGAATATTCCATGCCATTTAGGATCATTTCACATATATTGTATTCAGGCTTTTTTATCCTTTATTTTATTCGTTTTTTAGTTGGCTTATCATTGTTGTTTGTTTACTCTCCATACTAGTGAGGGAAGAGACGCACAAGAAATCAAGCAATGGTATTCGCTACTCGAAATCTGAAGCTAATGGTAAGATTGTCTTTCAAATTCTGTCATTGCTTTTGATGCTATTTTTGGGATTAACATTTAGAGGGAGGGTTTTATCTGGCTATTTTTATGGTTGGAGAGAAACACAGTGCTTAGTAATCAGATAAAAATTAGCCAGTGTGTGCTGAAGCTATTATAAAAAACATTATTTCCTGGCAGAAGCTAAACGCCAGCATATTAGTGTTTTAAGTCTGTTTACAAAAACCAAATGTGTTGTTTAAGTTAGTTATTGCCTGTTTATTGCCTGTTTCTTAGTTGCAATCTTCATCTTATATGTTAGATAGAACTTCTTGTGCGATGCTTGAGGTCATAGTTTAGTTGGCTAGTTCTGGTTTTTTCCTCCTTGGCCATGTCTTGTTCAGATTTTGTTAAATGGTTTTTGCTTGTTGTATCTGGCAAAAATACTACTTTGCTTGTTCTTTGGAATGAATCTGCTCAATTCCCCAAGCAAAAGCAAACCAAGATCAGTGTAGTATACTATGTTAATTTATTTTTCCTTGTTAACATTCTACTTCAATAACTTCAGGGGATGAAGAAAGAGTATCTGCTTCACTGGATAATTATTTGTTTGTTCTCGCTAATCCCAAATATGCCGATGATAGTCATGATAGCTCTGATATCCAGGTGTGTTCCTCTCTACGCTTTTATATGTCTGCTCAGGATCAAGGGCTTGTGGTCATGTACCTTGCTATTTTTTGGAGGGATTGTGGAATATATTTTGACAAGAGGTGCATGTATCATTTTTCTTTTTTTAGGAAATACTGAGCATATACACGAGGGAACTACCTTCGATGAGTTATGCTGCAAATACTGGAAAACAATCAACATTCCTTGAAAAATGTGTATCAAATGGGTAAAGAACATTTACTTTCTTTTTCTCCTTATCTTCCCCTAGTTTCAAAAATAGCTGTTCCTAAATTAATTGAGTTGTTTTAATCTTTATTCTATGTTTACCAACACTTCTATTATTTATTGATAATTGTCATGCGTTAAAAGGAAAATAACCAATGTGAACAAATTTGCAGGAAATATTGTACGTTGCTTTTGAAATCCAAGTTGATTGAAGACGATGAATTGGTAGGTTCATTGTGCTCCCTTTCTTGGATATTTTTAGGCTATTTAATGATCAGCTGTTGAATATTCTTCCTCCTAGCACATGTGGAAAGTGTGTATTAGCTGCAGTTCGTAAGGAAGCCGCTGAAAGTATATTATAGGAAAAGGGGTAAAAATGTTAATAGGTGTGAGTAAAGAGGACAGTTTTATATTTTAGTTACAGCATGGGTTTTTGGCTTAGTTTGGTAATAACAATAAGGACACACCTAACTGAAAGATGTTAGATGCATATACAAATGGTTCATGGCAGGAAGGAAAGGTAGATCCGTTTTGAATTTAGATTCCAATTCAAATTCTCTCTCGATTCCCTCTCTCTCTTTCTCTCTCTGTCTTTTTTTTTCATCTGTATTTTGCTTAACCGATTCAGTCACGAACCCATAAGTAAGGTTTCTGACAAGTTGGTACCAGAGCTGCTAGAATTCGAAGAAACCTATGCTTCTATAGTATCACAAACTCAATCTAAAGTTAAATCCATTGTGATGGAGGACAGAAGATACAACACATGGAATCCGTGAATACTACTTTCATCATCCTCATCCCTAAAAGAAATGGTGCAATGAGTTCAAAGACTTTAAACCTATAAGTTTGGTGGGCTGCATTTATAAATTAATTGCTAAGGTCTTGGTTAGGAGATTGTCCAGGTTACTTG